GGGTGCTACAAGGAGACCCTATCAGCCCTCTATAGTATAACATCGCAACAGCTGATATAATACAAGTGATAACCACAGAAAGCACCAAAGCATACCTCTAAGCCGACGACATGGCATTATCCTCCAGAAACCACAAATATCTCCAAAATAGACTGAACAAAGTCGCATCATGGGACGAGGAAAACGAACCGACAATTAACAACAGCCAAAGCGCACTAATGGTCTTCAGAAGGGGGGAAAGATAGTGGAGAAAGAAAAACTAAAACTTGGAACCGAGATACTCGAAGTAGTTGATGACTACAAATACTTAGGAATTACCATGCAAACATCAAGAACCACCTTCAACAAGCATATACAACAAAAAGCAATCGGCGACACTGCTGTAATGAGACACGTCAGACAAATAAAAAGAGTATCACTACAAACAGCAATGAAGATTTTCAAAACAAAGATAGTACCCATACTTGCATACGGAATCTACATAATAAGATAACACCTGACGCTAAAATATCTGAAAGTATTAGAAAACATCAAGGTACTTCACCTGAAGGAAGTACTATGTGTATTACACCATCCAGATATGTATACCTGCTTACTACAGAACACTTCCTAATTGAGGACCTACGATATAATCTATCACTACCATCTAACACAGCATACAACAAATTGCTGGCGGAAAGACAACATAAGAGAGAAGAGGTAGAAGAACTATTTCTACAGCACAAGTGCCATGATGGACAAAACCAAACTAGGAAATGAGAACGGTAGTAAACATTAGCGGTGCATCTGCAACACAACCATGTATCAGATCATCAGTGATCTATGCGTGTGCAAACTAAGTAACGAAAAGTGTCCCAAATATCACGTGCTTTCATGCAAGAGAAACAACAAAACAATTATGGAGCTCAGCTCCGAAGACTGAACTATAAATTCCATAGACAGACTCTGGCGGACGTATGATATAGTTGAGATGCTGTATATTGTATTTTTCTGTTTCTTTGGTTTCTCGCTACTTCGTAGCAAGATAGTTACGTAATGCTGCACGAAATAACGGCGAATTTTCGGCAGAGAAACTTATTAAAGGACCCGGGTACAAAAATGCGGATAAATCCAGTTGCTAAATTTAGAAATACAAATGCTCCAACACGTGGTGTAGCCAGAACCTTTGTTTTGTGGGTCCTTGAAACCGAAAAATCGAATGACGGCAAAATGTATCTATCCATTTGTCCCTCAGTGAACAACACTAGCAGCTAAACTGATCAGCCGATTTTCTCGAAGAGAATGGTGCTGGTCTCATTTTCGTTGAAAAGCCTGATTTTTTGAAAATTGCAAAAGTTCAATTTTTTTTTCGGAGCCTTCCTGAAACTAAAATATTGATAGAGTTTATTTCTTCCTGAAATCTGTTTCTTGAAGATAGATTCATTTAAAGGGTAATGAGGTTCTTCTGAAAATGGATCATCGACTATCAGGTGACCTTGAATATGCAGCAAGGGTCACGGTGTAAGATATATCTTACAGCAAGGCAAGGGTTAAAACCTTTTTGGAACTCAAAAGATCCGTGACCACGTTGCGCCAACGGCTGTCCAAATAATTTTGTAGAAGGAATGTCTCTGCATCAGCGGTTCATTTTTCTTTTAATCCAACAAATACATATTATTAAAAGTATTTATAATGTTTACATATATAAGAACATTTTATTCTTTCAAATTTGTGCGCTAATGATTACGTGGTTTCCTGAGGAAAATTTAAACAATTTGTGGTGAAAATAATAAATGTCCGAATAGTTTTATGAGTCACTGTATATTTCCAGTCCTTTGCCAATTGAGCATGGGGTCCCACAAAATTGGTTTTTGGTCCTATCTTCTTTCTGCAATATGTAAATGATATACCCTCGTTGATTAAAAATGGAGGAATAGTTGTTTGCTGATGACACAAATGTTTTTGCAAAAATGAAACAATACATAGTACAATTTCAGAAGATTCAAATTTGTTTCGTAATAACAAATTAAAAGTTCACGAACGAAAAACGGTTTCAATGCATTTTTGCATTTCATATTGGCAATCACAGGCTCTACTGAAAATGAATATGAACAATTCACGCAACAATTACCTGATGTTAAAGTAATAAAATGTCTAGATATCTCAATTTTATATAACCTCAAATGGAATGTACATATAACAGAATTAAACACTAAATTAAGTTCATTGAGCTACGCAGTTCAGGATTCTTTCAAATTCTGTCAGCCTTTATATAGCTCATTGCGTGTATTTTGCAAATGTACTTTCCCACATGAGATATGACATAATATTCTGGAGAAGCTCATCCTGTAGTATCCAGACTTTTAGATTGGAAACGAAAGTTATTCAAACAAAAGGGCCGTCCAGGTGATTCCTGCAAGCCTCTCTTCCTTAAGCTTGAAATCTTACCATTACTGTGCCTATTTACGAATCTGTAATTTTTGCCAAAACTGACTTAACGGTAGTGCCCATATTTTCATGCAATACTTATATTTATAATTACAACATATATCATTGTAATCACATTTATCAATGGATCACTGCAAGAAATCCACATGCAATGCATGCAGGGCTTACATTACTTTACAACGCATTAACAGATGACATTAAAGTCAGCGAAAGCTGCTGCAAAAGATTTTTTTACAATTAGAGTATACTGAACGTCAAAAAGAAAAATAATATTTATTCTAACAAAACAATGATATAAAATGCATTATTTTACATTTTTATTTTATAATATAAAAAATACTTAATGTGCCTGTAACACGTAATGTACTTCAGCTTTCGGGTCAATGACTCCATCTCGATCAAGTTTTTGTTCAACTTTCCTGATCCATTGACCAATGCTGAGTTGGCTCCTTAATAATAATAGCTCACCCCAACTCTATTCCTACCACTAGCTCTCCTACAAGCAAAAGAAGAAAGTTCAACAAAACGTGTGCGTAGTGAAGCTATATTTATATTGTTTTACATTTATTCATCTTTCAACTATTTATAGTTTAAATGTTGGGAAGGGATTCTGGGAACAATGATTTTCTCCCCCATACGTCACACAGTTTTTTACTGTTTTTTTTACTAAATAAATCAATTACTCAATGTCTGCAGCAAGTTCGCACACTGATCCAAACAATGGCATAACACTGCATTGTCATCTCTGCAGAATATAAGGTTTGTAGATAACTGATCAATGGTAGAAGCATAAGTTTGACGTGGTTGAAAGCATCAATAAGAAAATACTCTGGCATTTGAAGATCCAGTCTGACTATCGGATAGATCATAACATGCCAGATTTCAGTCGGAGAAGATACAGATAGTAAACATGGTTATCCTATCAAATTCCAGAATGAACCAGAATGAAAAGAAATACGAGGGTTGCCTTTTATATTTCAGGATTAGAGAACAAAAACAAATATTAATCATCGAAAATCACTTTATTGTTTTTCAAAATGTTCCCCCATGAAAGATCTATACACTTTTGCATGCGTTTGAAAACAATTATCGAAGCATTTTTTTTGCCCACTCCTGATTGGAGGTATCTCCAAAACATGCATTCTGAATGCAGCCAACCGCTTCTTCAGGTGTCGAAAAACGTTGACACTCTGCAGTTTGTTTTTTACGGGATGAAAAGAAGTCATTCGGTGCCAAGTCAGGACTATACGGCGGATGACACATCAAATCGATGTTTTGGGTGCTCAAAATGCAGTTGTTTGAGCCGATGTGTGTGAGAGCTTCGCTTTGTCGTGGTGAAGAGTGATCCGACTTTGCCGTTGGTTTTCCTTGATTTCTTGGAAGACAGCTGGCAAACAAATCGTTCTGTGTACCACTCAGAATTGACTGTTCTGCGTTGTTCAAGTGTACGGTTGCGACATGTCAGTTTTTCCCGAAAAAAACAGGTGACCATCTAATTTGAAGTTTCTTCGTGCGCGAACAACTTTTGTTGGATTTTTGCTCATCTTGAAACACCCATACAGTCAACTGCTGTTTACTTTCGGGCTCATACGCGTAAATCGACGATTCAATCACCTGTCACGATGTCATAGACGTGTTTCGAAGCACCGTGATCGTATTTTTTAGATTTCTTTCGACCAATCGACACGAGCCTTTTCTGAGCGATTGACAAATTGTGTGGGATCCAACGCGAACAATTTTTTTGACAGTCAAATGTTCATGCAATATTGAATGTATGCTGGTCCCACTAATGCCTAAGGTTGTCGTCAATCTCACGATAGGTCACATGATCTTGCAACACTCAGTTTCACGCACAGCATCAATGGTTACGGAACAACACTATTTTGGACGACCTTCGCGAAATTCGTCTTGGAGTGAACTACGACCACGATTGAATTCACCATACCATCGATAACCACTGGCCTTGATGGAGCTTTCATCGCCAAAAAATGAATTAAGTTCATCCATGCACTGTTGCTGAGTAATCCACGTCGAAAGTTTGTAATAAAAAATCGCACAGAAAATGTTCATAATTTTATTCTAGTTTTGGGGGCCAAGATTAATATTTTAAGTTACTGAAAAACAACATAAATAGGCTACGTATGTCAAAACGTTCTGAGTACGTATAACCTCAAAACATCCAACTTTACGATAGAGCTATCAGTTTCCAGATTGCAACACCAAATCCCGAAACATAAAAGGCAACCTTCGTAATGGAATATAATTATCCCCGACAGAGTTGTATAAAATCTCGAAATGGAAGGTCACTCTCGTCACAGTAGTAGGAGCTATAGGGTCTGCATACAGAAACTCAACGAAACACTTGATCATTCTAGGCTTAATGTGAGCATTAACATTACCTATCTGTGTTAGTGAATGTGTCATTGAGTTGACAGAGAAATGGGGGTGGGGAGAGACTGAAGCTCCTTGAGCCCCTACTTGAGTAAGCCACTAATCATTCTTTGTTATTTTACACAATAATGTTTGTTAAAGGAAAAGAAAGGATGCCAAAGGTGTACAAGAGGAAATGAGTCAAGAAAAAAGACACTGCTTACACGTTAAGGTGTTTTTATTGAATGCGTGTCAATTAGCAGACAAGACTGTCAATCGAAATATGCAAAGCTAACTGCAAGGAATAAAATACAAGAAATGGCAGTATTAAAATGTGATTGCCAAAAGGAAATGGGAGTTTCCTCTCATCTCCACCTTGTGAATTCTTTGTACTCATGCAAACGTCTATGAAAACTAGAAATTTTAGTACTATATATACGCGTGTCTAGATAAATAACAAAAGATATATAATAAAGAAATATAAATATAATATGAATTTTAAAATAACATAAGTACATCTTTCAAAACAACTGAAAAACTCCACGAACACAATGACCAATCAATCCATTCATTCATGGAAACCTTTAAAACATGGAAATGTAGCAATACTTCAAGCATTTTAATTAGCATGTGATAATACAAAATAATATTATAAATGCATAATAATACTCCCTCGTCTTAATAAATACAAAATTTACAAACGAAATAATTTTTGTCCTTTTTTGAGCAGTGCGTAGTACATCATGTAATTAATTGCTTGAACTTATAAATAATTTATGAACAAAGAAGATATAAGAAATGTTGACTAGAAATGCTACACTTCAACACAAATACCAAAGAGGGAAAACAACTACCTTCCTTATTTATAAAAATTTGGGCAAACCCTCCTATTCAATAAATATGCAGTAACATAATAAAACAAAACACTAGTGAAAATGCTTTCTTTACATGGAATTGAGAATAATTAAATTCTTCACAGTACACAGTAATGGCAAATCTTTGTTAAGCAGTGCAGTCTGTATATTTCATTTCTTTACTCCATATTACACACACTTGCTCAGAATTCAAATATCGCAAATTGCGATTTGCAAACTATAAGACAATACCTCTATAAGAATGATATTCCTTTTATATAAATCTTACAAAAGTTCATTGGTTTATAAAAGATCTGACAACAGTCATCTACCGAAAGAAAACTAATGTAGAAAATATCTATGAATAAGATAATAATTTATAAATTACAGGGAAATAAAAAAAATATCAATAATTCTGTAACACCCATTGTTCCTTAGCTTGAAAAAAAATGTGCTTTTAATTCAAATCAATAGACTCACAGCTGTACTTCCAGAAAATAAAAGAAATGGAGTTTACAGAATGGTTAATTACAAAACACCATTGAGATATAAATGCCTCTTGTGAAACAAGCCTACTTGTTTCTGGTATGGTAATTTATTACTGAAAGAGGATATTCTTTTAGTACACTTGGACACTAAACATATAAAATTCCGAAATCCGATAAGGGGATTTGAGAAGCATATTAGCATTAGCCACGTCATTTTATAAGTCCGGCACAGTATTAAGTAATTTTAATATACTCATTTCGAATTCTTTCACAGAATAAGTTCCAAGAAGGAATAGTTAATATTTATGTTAACAAAGAGAAAACTGAATAATCAAGGGATGAACGGGCATATACCAGATTTAAAACTTTGAAATAGCTCTTAAGAAATTGAATTCCCTTTAATACCAAGATGTCACAAAAACGCTAGGCTTCAATACATGTTATCCAAAATTATCCCAACATGTCTATTACCTTGCCTTCGGAGACTCATTTTAAATGTTCTGTTTATAAACTTAAAACACAAGTACTAATATCTTGTTATGATATGATGTTTCAAAGGATATTCAATTTTAGACATTAAAATGCTTTTAAAGAATTAAAACTTTTAAGGCAACAAGACATTTGTATGTATTTTTACTACATGGTCTTAAATTTCAAATATTTTCAATTTTCAATGAAAAATTGCGTTATGCCATTGTAGGCCTGGTGGCCTTTAAAAATTTACAAATAATTATTATGTGCACAGAAAAATCATGTTATCAAAAGAAATCACCATTAAACACCAATCACCATCACCAAACAGATCACATAATTACACCCATACTTCACCAATCACACCACTACTACAAACCTCTCAAGAGGTAAAAAAAAAATTTTATTCATTCCAAAGTGTAAGTATTTCTGTTAAGAGAGAAGATATTAATTTTCAATAATTACAGCGCATTTTATATTAATAATATATACAATATTTTGTTTCCTAATTTCCAGAAAAAAAATGTTTCCATCTTAATTTGTATTTCTGACTTCACAAAATATTATTCTGTCACGAATTTAAGGCTTGTGCATTTTTACTTCAAAAGCAGCATTACATACAAAAGGAATAGTACTGTCATTGATTGAGAAAAACTCTAAATAAATTAATATAACAAGAGTCACAAGTTTTTACTTTCAGAAATTAATATTTTTGAAAAGCAAATTCATTAAGATATACCATAAATGTTAATGTAAGTTTTATTTAATACATAGAAGGATTTGCCCATAACTGAATTTAAAGATAGTTCACCATACCTTTTAACCCAAAATTTTTTCACATATATCTTACAATGTAGACCTTATCAATACAAAAATCACATTTTAGCTGAATTTCATTAGGCTTATTAAGTTAATATTATTAAAGAGGTTAATTGGAATCTACTAAATTAAAAAAACTACTTCTCAGTGGTTGACTCTTGAAATTACTTCATCATTTGTCATCATAATTGAGAATATTTTGATCCGGTTCTGAATTGAAACATTATGTAATACCCAGAACAAGACATTAATTCATTCACCAAAAAATAACCTTTTTACAGAGTTTTAGCTTGGAAAAGTGCAAATAAGTTATTTGGAATATAACAGAAACATAACAAACTACCATATCTAAAAAATACATAAAATAAAAAACAAAAAGCAGTAGATAAATGACTTGAAGTAATAAATTTACAAGCACTAAAAAACATCTACTAATGATACAAAACTTGTAACAATAATTATTTCTAACACAAGTTTTGTCAGGTAACATTTTTTCAAAACTATTCTCCTGGTTCATTTGTAAGGATTATTCCAGCTCAATAACTGAAATAATTCACAGGAAGTTTGCAATAACATTCACATGTCTCAAGAAAGAGGCTCTACTTACACATGCACACTGTTCAGTTTTTCATACAATTTCCAAAAGTTGGCACAATACATTTTGCATTCAGTACATTTTGGCATTATTTAGACTTATATCTGACAAAAACTTCAGATGAATACAATATATGCAATGCAAAAAACACTGATTATCAAATGCAAAAATTGAGATTGCTTTGTATTATATCACTGATAAGCAGTTCATTCATTTAACATAAATCATAAGAAGTTAATTTTGTTTCAGAATCTAATAACTTCTTTAGGCCAGTAGGTCATACAAATAAAGTTAGAAATAATTGTTCAGTTACTTCCAATAAAAATGTTTTTATGAAAGTTATTTCAGTCTTTCTAAAGTATGCAATTTTCAGAACACAATGATAAAATCAAGCCAAAATTTCTATGCAACATTGATATTTTTTATACTACTTACTATGAAACAAAGCAGATTTCTTACTTCACCAATTAATACATGTGTTTTCCACAATTGGCTGCAATGCCAGGAATGAGTACAGTCATTAGAAATATAAGATTATTTTTTGCTGGCATTACTATGTACATGAAACCATAGAAAACAAACCTTAATATACGTACATTGCATAATTTAACTATAAATCACCTATTAAAAATATTTAATTCCAATGAAATTCTTATCTTACCAAAAACACCAGCTGATCTTATTCTGTCCAACTCTAAAAGCCAGCAAGGAGAGCCAAGAAATCAAGCTCCTCTCAAAAATTAAATATGTAGGAGCTGGGAAGTGAGGACAATCTGATAAAATTCATACACAGATTTGCTGTTCTATTTGTTTCAATGTTTGTCATTTTCACAAGGGTTTATGCTAGGCCTAATCTGCACATTATTTTATATTGTCACAGGAGGTGAACCAATACCAGATAAGATTCAAATAATATAATTACACACCATTTCACTATGATGTCAACTCAAAAAGGAATTACCTAAAATAAAAACAGGTAGTAAAAGATGGAGAGGGGAGGAAGAAAAATATGGGGGGAAATATTATGCTCTTGGACTACATAATAGCTTACTGCCCCCAGTTTTTACCAATCAACTATTCACAAAAACTAACTTTGCAAGGATATTCACCAACATGCAGACTTCTGCTATCACAAACTTCTATCCAACTGACTAGGATCCCTTGGCACATCATTAATAATTTTTTTATGGTTGCAGAGTTGTTCCAAAAATCTAGGCATTTATGCATCATTCAGAAATGAAGGTTACATTTCTCATTTAATAAATTTACCATTTGAAGCAAAATAAATTTTCATGATAAAAATAAAGTAAAATTCAAAATAACTGAATGGTGAATAGATTTCAAAGCATTCCTGGAAACGTATGTAAAAAAAAAAACACGCATCTTTACTTTTAATAATCTTTTTAAACGTGACTGAGCATCACCCTCAACATATAAGCACAAGACACCAATCTCAATGGGAAAGATAACAATCAAATTTAAAAAACTTTTTTACAATATATGTGGTGTATCTCTCTTTTTCATGAAATTGATCTTATTAATAAATTATGTAAGTTATTGAACAGAAATATTGGGCAAAATGTGTTAATTGACATCTCTCTGGGGTTCACTTTTCTTCTGTGATGTGGGATTTCAGCAAATTTAAAATTCGTATTCGCTTTCCACAACACAAAGCAAAACAAATTGTTTCAATCAAATACTGCAACAACTATCTTCTAAAACTTAGAATAAAATTAAGTTACATAACAATCATGTGGTCAATTTATTAACCTTCTTAAAATTGTGGTAATTTTCAAGAGAAGCTTCAATATTTCTTGACATCATTTCATTAACAAATGAAATGCTTACAAAACTTCTTTAAACAGTCAATATACCGACTATTAAAAACTCCTCAGAACTAATGTGAAATCTTATTTCAGTAAAAACTGAAAAGTATGAAATATGATATGACTTATTCTGTGATCATATGCATATTAGACTACAATCCAGCACTTCACACTTATAATATAATCAAAAATTACTGAAGGTAAACTCTGATCCTAAATAATGTGTGCTTTTTCATGTCTCTCCTTGTCATATGCTTCTCTGAGCTTTAAGCAGTCTCCTTGCCTTTTGTCATGTGACTCTGGAAACAACTTGTGCATTGACACATACATAATAAAACTATTAAATAAAGTACCTGAGTGATAATGGACAATAAGGTTTTTAATGTTTTAATTTCAAACCCTCCAATATATCACCAAATGAATAGACTAACCTACTGGATACAACCTGAAATATTATTTTTGTCTATTCTTGAATCATATTTACAAACACTGCTCGAGCATTCACATTCTTCACTTCAAAATGAAATTATATAAAAGCACTATACAACAAGTTTAATGTTGTATTCCCTGTTATTTAATAAAAATTCTTGAGAAATAGTTAATGAAACATGTGAAACTTTTAGCACCAACATATAGGACTATAGTAAAAACACAACCAAAGAAGTAAAACACAGAGAACATGCAAGACAAATGTTCCATCACCAACATTCAGTATCAAGAATATGGAGACCTTGCACAAATTTATTAGTATATATATTGTACAATAAATATTTAGAAAAAGTTGTATAAAAATATTGCACACATATCAACAAATGATGATGACAATGTAAACTAAAAAGGACAAATAAATACTGTCACAAACAAAATGTATATCAATAGTTCATGTTTATCAAAAAACAAATACTGCACAATATGCAGTAGCTCATCACAGTGAAGTTTCAACCACAAGTAACTATGATAAAAATACATTTGGACGAGTTCTTATTAGTGAGATAGTCGACGAAAATATTACCTATCTACTGCTCCAATTACATTCTAATTTTTTGGACAGAATATGTACTCGACTACATAGGCGCTTTTAGTCTTGCCCTCCCTTTGATGCATTCTACTAGCAAAACAAAAGTGATCTACTTGGCACTACAAATATGAAAGACAAAGTGCACCACACAAAATCTTCAGTTTTCTTGTGGAGAATAGAATCCCTTCCATGACATTTCCTATCTTATTTGGAATACTAAACATCTGAAAATAAGCGTTCAAAATTCCAAATAAATTAAAATATTTATACAAAGACAATGGTACTTGGTAATATTTTCTCAAAAACATGATCTCATTTGATGAACTTAAGTATCACAGTGAGCTGCACCCAAGACCATGGACATGTCCAAGTTGAGACCACAAAAATTTCCATATAAAAAACTTTCAAATAACATCAATCACTTCATATGCAGTGGAACTCCTCTCCTATTAAGCCTCTGAACCTAAACACACATTTTTGGAAAAAAATTTAAAACTTATTCAACATGTTTTTTTTTAAAACATCCTTATTAAGCAACCACCACAAAAACTACTTATGCCCACAACTGTCATCATCCAACTTCCATTACATGGTCAGAATTTGACTTCTCATTACCAAAGAAAAGAAACAGATTCATCACATATTGTGGAAAAAAGAAAGACAATGAGAGAAAGAGATCATAGTCCTTTCTTAGTTGATATAAATAATCAGTATCAGAATAAAGTACATTACTAATAATCTGAATATTCAAATCTTTCTTTGTTAAAGTCTGCAATGGATTTCCAATCAAAATGAGGTATTTTAATTCCTACCGCAACTATTATACTTGCATGACGTGAAAAATACGTGTCAAATTTTTGTTCTCAAGGTAACACTAAAATTTGAGCAACTCGATGCCAAATGTAATGAAATAAAACATTATTTTGGATTAATAATTTCTCTTGGAAACAATATAATACATCCATGATTCAATTTCTACGTAATAAATTAGTTATTGAAAAAAAAGAAAGTAGAAAGAAGTCATGTAAGATTTTTTCATGGACTTTAGTACACTAAAATTGAAAGAAAAAAGAAGAAAAGAAAAATGGGAGAAGCAGGAAGAAAAAGAAGATTGATTGTTTGTTTTTTTAGCTTTTCAGAACACGTCAACTCATTTAGTTATTAGTTCCGTATATATCCCATTACATCTCAGGAGGCTGGAGTGTACCTCTCATGCTGAAATAATAGATCGAGGGCCAACTTGCCCCTTGGCTTTCAGAGGGTGGTCAAGAACGAGGAAGGGAAGATTGCGCACAGGCCATGGCCCATTTGTGAAGGTTCTGCTTCAGTGTTCATCTGGTTATTTGGAGAAACCACTTAAAAAAAAAAAAAAAAAAAAAAAAAAAAAAAAAAAAAAAAAAAAAAAAGGAGTGCTAGAATTCTCTTCCAGATAGTCGTTAAGTGTGATCTAGCTAAATAGCTAGCATTGAAAATCCACCACTTCAGTACCCGAATCAGAGGTCCTTCTAGTCAGCAACCCTGCAGAGTTAACATTAAGGATGTCACTAAGCCATTGCAGGCAGAAGCCAGCAGAAGAAAACTTGAAGTTAGTTGAGTCTTGATACATCAAATTAATATAATATTAATTTAATATGTATTAATATTCTTAATAAGGGGTCATCCATTAATTAAATAATGCTAAAGAGAAGGGAAGGGGATTGAGGCGGCTTTATGCTGAGTTACAGGGGGCAGAGGAGGAATTCAAAACACTCCAAATTTGTATTATGTAATTTGTGGATGGCCACTAAGTTAATGATGTGATGCAAGATGTTCAAAGCACAAATCCTTCATTTATACCAGTTCTTGTTACCTATAAAGCACCCTTACATAGGAAAACTCCTCTTCATACAATTTTTTTTATTAAACTCAGTGGTTGCTTAAAAAGGTTCCATAATAATTGGCATTTTAAACAATAAATACTTCAAAGCACCGTATAAACCTGCATTCAGAAGCCAAGTATCAGCAAAATAAATTAAAGTGAGACTCTCTCAAGTATAAACACACCCACCAACAAAGAACCAAATATTGTTTCCAAAATAAGGCTTCATTACGAGGTTAATATCTGTAAGGTTGTCATTTGAATTAACTGTATGTCAACAGTCAGAGCACAACACCAATTATTCTTCATGATCATGATGCCACTCTCACTATAATACAACTTAACCTTACAAACACATATGGAAAAAAAGTAATTTTATCACTTATTCTACAAAATAAGCACACTTTTGTAAGGTACATTAAGGTACATCAGCATTTTTCAGAATGTCAGACACTCATGTCAATGTCTGTCATTTGATGACAGAAAAAAAAGTGTTTTCAAAACATAAATAAAGAAATAATAAATGTCTACCCAGCCTGTGCAGAATTTTCTAAGACCTATTATAATGAAATGTTGGTAAGCACACACTGAATATTTAAAAGCGCATTCAAAATTGCATCAGTCCAATTTTTGCACTTTGTAAATTAAAATGTATCACAGAGTAAATTTCACTGTATGGTTACACCACAGCAAATTGTTTCGAAATAAATCATAAGTATTTTTTAAACATGTTCTGTATCCTCTTCGTAACATTTATTGCTCAGTGTCTCTAATCAACCTGTAATGCTGAATAATGATAAATCAAAATATTGTAAAAACTTAAAAGAAAAATACTTTAGCTTTTCTGAAAACACTACCGAAGTAAAACTTAAGAGATTAACTTTTTCCTTGGTAGAACTTTTAGAATTCAACATTATGCAGCAATTATTTCTCATGAAGTAATATCAATACACCATTCAACATTACAGTTAAAAAATGTTCAAAACAGATGAATACCTCTATAGAATAGCTACAATATTTGGCAGTGGTATATAAGTATATATATCTAAAGGATTTTTAATTCGGGAATCAATTAATTGCAGTGACATTGTGAACAAGCTACAAATGTAGAAGAAGTTTGAAGGTTTTAGATTTCCAGAAGTCAAGCAAATGCACTTGAAGGCTCTTCCAAATCAGAAATACGGCATGCCAGCCTCAATAATCCAACTTCGAATCATATCTTCAGTAGAGTGTTGATGAACCCAAAACGCAATCCACTTGTCTTGATCTAAACAACTATTCAAGATCAAATACAATTAATAAGGCTTACCCAGTTTATCACAGCATTCGAGACACTTTGGCAGTTATCTTCTTACTGGGGCTTACAGCTGAAGGCAGAGATGTTCTCGGCAGAACTGTACCTGCAGTGGCCTTTGATTCTCGTGTGCGGCTGCAGGATTTTCGACAAGAGCACTCTTCGCGACCCATACTGATTGGTGGAAAAGGTCGCAACAGTCCAAATGACTGAGAAAAATTGACTCCACATCGCCCCAAAAACAAGTGAGCACATTTGTTCACCCGAGTGTGGGCAGTTAAAGCTTCTTCCAAATCTGCTTCACTGAAATATTACATTTTTACAATCATTCCCTTTTAACAATGATGAGAACATCTCACAGATCCCCTACATACTATGAATAACACATTAATTGAATATTCCTTCTCAAATTCACAATATAAGCTTACAATAAAACTAGTATACACACAAATTACTTACCGAGCAAGAGCAAGAAATTCTAAGAAGAGTCGACTAGGTAATTGGTCAGAATGGTCTACACTATCAGTGTACAAATCTGTTTCTCTATTATACAAATACACAAAATCATTTAGTTGTTTAGCAACCATTGCCAAACGATCTTTTCCAGACAACTTGCGACTCGGCATCTATGATGTCAAATGGACTATGAATGAGAATGAACACACAAAATACAATAAAAAATAAATATACTAAAATTATTACCTGAACAAAGTATGGAGTACGCAAGTTACTAGAAGCCTTTTGCAAAAAACGCAAAATGATTTCCACATTCCCGCTCTCTTCAGGCTTAGTACCATTCTTTGTCATACGGCGAAGAATACAAATAAGGTACTGACCAAACATTCTTCTTGCTTGATACTGACTAGAAAAGGAAAATCATGAAATATGGTTGGTGAGAGGAACAACATTAAACGGAGTATTTTTTCTGTAAGTTTCTATTTTATGATGCAGTACCTAAGTCGTTCTCCTTTCTCAAGTCTGTTCAGTACTTCTTTCAAGACATCCCCAACATCACGAACTTCTTCTACAACACAACTACCTTCTGCATCTACATAGAAGAAACATTTTCAGACAAGTGAACATTAATAAAGTTCCTCTAAGTTTATTTAGATTCTGATGAGCGGAGACAAAAAATGTTTTACATGCTTACACGTCAAATTATTTTACATTGTCATTCTGCAAAATAAGAAAAACAGAGTACTTCCAATTAGGACATTACTCCCTGGGGAGAGTCTACTAAGGACATGCATATTGGTTTTTAAAAAGTCAAGGTACGGTAATTGACAAAGTAATTCTTTCATGAAATGAATTCAAATTCACAATGACTCCCCAGTCCATTCATCCTGCTCTCCAATAAGTATAAGAATCTACAAAGTGTTAAAAAAGTGGATGCTTGAAAATACCACAAGTCTTCCCTAAGACCTGGTAATCATGGGTTGATGCAGTAGCATTTCTTTCCTGTGGTAAATTTCTAATTTGATATTACTGGCGTACAAAAATTAAATAATTTATTTTTCTTTTTATCTAACACTCTTTCAACAGGTAGATTCTGGACTTCATGTCAAAAGAACCATACTGCTTTGGAATTGAAATTGGAGTTGAATAGAAAATGAAAAGAGTACACATTTGAAGGTGCAAGGCAATGGAGGAAATGGAAGATATAAAATCACTAGCTAAACCAGCTCCAGGATAGTTGCTTTCAGCATCTTAGCACCACTTGTTATCAAAATTATATTTAATTTTATGAGTAATGACTAAACAAACAACATAAAGAAGAATTCAGGATTGTACATATATTATAATACACTTATACACCAATTCCTACAAAGTACCATAATTGCATTCTGATTTTGTGAGCACTGTAAGAATCTGCAAAAACATTTTCACACATACAATAAATAGGTTCACCTGGAGCCAAATGTCAAAAAAAGTTATAACTTTTTTTTTTCCCCCAACAATTTTATTAATAATTTTTAATATGGTTATTTCAAGATGTCATTGAATTTTTTATGTATATATAAATATATAAATGACTTCGACACTAGAAAAAAATATTTATATATTTTTGTTCATTGTGCCACATTATTCATACATAAATGACAAACCTTCTACTTCCCCACCAGACAGTGAAGTTATTACACAGAAAAAGAGGATGAAGGAAAGAAAACAGACTGTAGTGAAGCTGTTTGCAGTTATTATATACATTAAAGCCAATCAGGAATAAATGTTCTTCAGTTGTGGTTATGTGCAACAATTCTCTGTAAAGAGTTAAATGGTAGAGAAAACTCAAAATAGACTTAAACATGGATAAAGCAGTTGTGGAAGTATAAAACTGCAACACAGAAGAAATTCAAATTTGTGTAATCAGAGTCAAACTTGTATCAGAACTTATGAAAATTGACACAGAAATACATGTTCATTTGAACTATGTTTGCAAACTTGTCTTGACAATCATATTTTAACTACAAGAGTGGATGAAAATGGGAGAAAAAGGAGAAAATGTTTCCTCTGCTATGCTTTCACAACACTGTTAAAGACATTTGAGGTATACAGGATAATAACGGTAGGTTTGAATCGCCCTCACATTTTCAGTTATAAGTATGATGGTAAGCTCCTGATTTATACCGATCATATGCTGAAATATCAAATGAATAGGGATACGGAAAAACCCTCAAATTCCACCAAAAATTTGTTCAGCGTAAAAGTGAACAAGAGTAAAAACTGAAAAAAAAAATTTTCTTATAACTAATTTTGGTTTTGGTCAGCCGTTATTATTATGAGTGCCTCATTCCTGTTGCTGTCATTTATATGTAATGGCCTTTTGCTGTTTTCAACCATCATTCTTATTTTGACAGAGCCCAAAGGAAACACTAGCATTCAAAGCTGAATGGCATAGTATTCAACATGTTAATTATTATTTGTGGACTAAAATGAGTTTGTAATTTAGAATGCAAGGTGTGTAATATATTAACTGTATAATGTTTATCATTAGATAAGAATAAACTTATTATTTCTTGGATTGTATGGAGGCAAAGGAAAATTTCGGGTCCTATTTTTAACACACAGATTTAATATAAATATAATTACGTGAAATTATCTTCTGTTTTCTATGATAAAAGAATGCCTTTGTACTTTGTCTTCTAAATCTTTTGTTGAAAGCCATCTCAAATATGTCTTTTTCTTTTCTTCAACTACGTTCTTTGTGTCTTCTGACAACCACAAGTCTCAGGTTTTATTTTCACATTTTTCCTTTTCTACTATTTTCCTAAACGCTTCCTACATTACAGTTACAATGGCCGTCTTAGTCAACCATCTTGTATTGTTTTACAGTTTTAGAGATAAAGAAATGTTTTACTAAAATCTCCTGTCTATGATAGTGGAGCAAAGAAGTTTAGCACCCCCTCCTAATCTGGTATCCTGGGCATACGTCCTGCCTGTCCCCCTCTAATTACAACCCTGCCACAACTTTGTTGCATCACATACATTGTTGCTCCTGAAAGAGTGAAAGCATGAAAATGGGTCTCATTTTTTAGAAAAACCTTTGGAAAGCATACTTAAAAAAATAAAACAATCTATTTATAACACCACAAAAAGTGAAAAAAAAAGGAACATGTGATACAAGTAATGATTCTGTAGCCTCTCATGAGCAGGCCAGCCTACACATTTTATACAGTTGTAAGCAGTAATTTCAATTTTTAAAACAATCATGAAGGAACATAACATGTATGTAATACACACTCACCAGATCTGTCCAACGGCATGCCGTCCAAACTTGCTTTATGACCTTGCAGCAGAGCCCTTTCATATCGATTGACACGTTCAGGGCTTGGGAAACGTACAGAGCTGCCAGGTGGGTGACTAGAGGGGGCCCTTAATACAGCATTGTTATCTGATCGAAGCTCAGGAAATAACTGCTGATGAAGGGTATAATTAAAATTGTGAGTTGTTGTGAGTGGAAACTGGACAAAATTAGATGATGCTGTTATCACCATACCAGTTGCAGGATCTGCCGACAAATGTTTTCACTGCAGCCTTGTCAAATATATGAACATGAGTAATTAGATGATATCCAAATACATGCTAATAAATACCAAGAAATTGACTGTAGCGCTTCCAGCTCTCAGATGATGGAAAAATTCGAACAAAACCACCACGCCTTTCAAACTCAGCACGAGCATATTTTACCATTCGTGTCTCTTCTGCGGATAAGGAGAGTGAACTTGAAGCCAATCGTGATGTACCTCCAGGAGGATATCGCTTGCTAACAGGGTTCATTAACATATCTGCTGACTGAACACGCCGACATTGCTAAATTTTAACATAGAAAACCAGAAAATGAGGCCATATAGAACCTTTGGCATTGTTTAAATTCACATTCTTAAGAAACATACATTGAGCTTTCGAGCAACATCAGAAGGTGTATTTAAACGACGTAGTTCACCCACACGACGCAACATTGGATCCACAGCAGGCACACCCACCAAAGTTAATAGGTCAACTAACATTGCAGACTTTACTCGCACATCCAAAGGTGAATCACAGCCAAGAGAAGGAGATAGATTGACTTCTAACAACCAGGGTTTTAATGTAGAATCAATTAGTATGTCAAAACCATACAATTCTGTGAATAAACACATTACTTGTCACTAAGAGAATACTATGAGCATTTTCAAAATTAAATTAATGGAGGCCTAAATAAACTGATATGAATAAAATCAAAAGACAATGACTCACCAAAGCAATTATGTGTATGAGGTACAAACATTCGGCAGGCAGTTACAATGGGAGGTGCTGAAGCTAAAATTGCCTTCACAACCACTTCCTCGATCCGGCTCATCAGTACTGCTGTGTCAATACCTTGGGACCGTAGATGTCTCAGCAAAGCACTTAAAGTCCATTTGTGACCTACATTTTCTGTATCAGCATCCTCATTCCTTCATAAAAAAAAAAAAAAGGGAAAACTAGATCAAACACTTGTTTATCATTAATGATGCAGTTCGGAATAGAGGAGGAAAAGAAAGGGAAGAGAAAAGGTGAAAAAAGAAAGGAATAAACAAAGAGGAAAGGAAGATGAGGAGGAAGGAGAACTAGAA